ATATGAATGAGTAAGATTCATTAGAGATTACAAATGTTATGCAAAGCAAGATCACATCTTGTATTTCATTTTGAGCACTAACACTGACATGCATGGCTGCTAATGCAGAAATATCTAGTAAGTACACTGGAATTATTAACAGAATAAAAAGCTTTGAATTAAAGAATTAGAGAACAGGATAACGATAGCTGTTTTCTCTAACTGCTTTATAAAGTGCTTATGTTTGCAAACACAAACCAGCTGACATTCAGGTTCACTCTGATCACAACCCTTATTTCTAAGGGGAACACTGTGTTGTGTTTCAACAACCTAATCATAATGAGAGAATATTTCATTTCAACCAAAATGGCAACTCTTTCCTACAGGACATCACAAATGCTGAAAAACATTATTTTAATAGGTTCTCTCTGAAATGGGGGGGGAAAAATCCTTAAGAGAAAGCAAGCAAGAGATAAAGATAAGAAATACAACTTTTGTCTCTTTGCAACCATATGGTGTCAGTTTTAGAAACTAAAAGGCTTGGATCTTAGTGGCTACAAAAGAATAGAAAACAAGATCTTAGGGGTTATGTGAGAGTCAGGACTCTCCAAAAGCCATATCCTCAGAAAAATAATATTGAAATAAAAAATAATAATTTGTCCACTGGCAAAAATAATTTGTCTACTGTCATCTTATACCTCAAAGATGACAGGAAAAATTGTTTTGGCCCAGTCAAAGGTAAAGAGAGTACTAGTAGTAGTGAACGGGAAGACAGAGTTAAAAATGTGACCCAAAATGAGGAACAAAGAGATATGTACAAAATAGAGAGTAAAACATATGAAGAACAGGATAAAAATGGATGAGTACATGTCTAACAGGAATTCTAGACAGAGAAATAAGAAAAAACAGAGATGAAATAAAAGTTAAAGAGATAATAATATAGATTTTTTTCAGACTCCATTAAAATCATCAATCCTCAGATTTAGGAAACACAATGAATCCCAACGAGGAAATATAAAGCAAAAACAGACACTGTATTGAAATGTCAGTATACTAAAGACAAAAAAGCTCTTAAATTCAACCAGTGAGGAAAAACAGATGATCTATTAAAAGAAGTAATAATTAACTGTCAGCTAACGTCTCAAAAAAACAGAACAGAAGCCAGAATGTTGGGAAATAATGACTTCAAAGTATTAGATAAAAGAACCATCGTCCTATAATTTAATATCAACTGAAGTAGTATTCAATAATGAGGACAAAATAAAACATTTTCAGGAAAACAAACACCAAACAATTAAATATGCCACTGAAGGGATTCCTAACGAGTGTACTTTAGTGTGAAGGAGAATGCACCAAAATTAAACACAGAAAAAATGTGAAACTGAAAAACAAGTTGATAAATCTGAACAATCACTATCCATATAAACCATTATAATACAGAATAAAGTAGTAAAAAAGTGAGGTGGGACTCAAATATTGGATAATAATAATATGGAAATCAGGAGAGATTAGTAGAGTAAAAGTATTTTAGGTCATTAAAAGAAGACTAGAATGACTAACTTCAAACTTCAAGTAAAAAATGATAAAGGAATTATCATATAAAAGATTAAAAATAAAGTATATAATCTCTAAGCCAAGGGAAAAAATTAATTAACTTAAGTAAAAGGAAAATAAGTCAGCAAAGATGGAGAAAAAGAAGCATAGAAAAGGCAGGATAATGAAAGAGACTAAAATAAGATGTTCAAATAAATTCAAATAATCAGTAATGATAATAATAAATATAAATGGGCTAAACTCCCCAGTTAAAAGAAAAGGCTCTCACATTAAATAAAAGAAACAAACAAATCCAGCTATGTGCTATAGGAGAAACACGATAAAAAATACAGAAAGACTGATGACCAAACAAAGTAAAAAATAATAAGCCAAGCAAATATTAACCAAAAGAAAGGTAGTGTAACTATATTATGATCAGACAAAGTTAATTTTAAGGTAAAGATCATTGTTAGAAATAAAAGCAGTTGCCACAAAATTATTAAAAGAAAGTCACCAGGAAGAAGCAATTCTAAGCTTGTAAGAATCTAGTAACAGATTGACCTCAAAATAAATATAGAAAAAATTGACAGACTTCCTTGAATAATAAAGCTCACAATCATAAAGTGAGATTTTCACACCCCTCCGATAAAGTGAGATTTTAAATATATATACACTATGGGCCCGATGCAGGAAATTCATGCATGAGTAGGCCTTCCTTCCCACAGCCGCCGGCACTGGCTTCCCTCTGGCACCCGGGACCCGGGCTTTCCTCGTAGCCCTGGCTTCATCCAGAAGGTTGTCTGGAAGGTCATCTGGTCTAATTAGCATATTATGCTTTTATTATAGATTTTTTTTATCCATTTCAGTGAGGAAGAAAGTGGGACAGAAACATAAATGAGAGAGAATCACTGACTGGCTGCCTCCTGCACGTCCCCTACTGAGGATGGAGTCTGCAACTAGGGCACATGCCTTGATCAGGAATCAAACTGTGACCTCTTGGTTCATAGGTTGACACTCAGGCACTAAGCCATACTGGCCAGGCAAGTGAGATTCTTTATGGTGTTGGTCTGTCTCCCTGTCAACTTCCCTGTCTAGAATGTAATCTAAAATGTGTCATCTTTTTTGTCCCTTTTGTTCACAGATGTGTTTTAAGAACACAGAGCAGTACCTAGCACATAACAGCTGCCTGATATACAGTAGTTATGAAATAATTCTCCTTAAAATATAAATAAGACAAGGATCCCCCATTATATTCGACACTGTACTTTTGAGAGGTCCTCACCAGTACAAAATTAATTGAAAACTAATTACAATTTCAGAGAAAAAGACATTGGTAAAAGTGATTGTAGATGGGACATCCTTGCATTCTGGAGTTTCTGATAAGTAGCTGAAGAGTTCAATGCCTGTTGAGAACTAGTATTCTAGAATACCTGTATTTTTATCTTAAGTTTATAGAGTTTCCTTATTTTGGTGTCTTTTGTTCTCTTTAAAATTCACAGTTATATTTCATCTAAAAAGATGCTGATTTTTTTCTTTTTTTACTTTGTATCAAGCCCTTTTATTTTGAGACAGCTATATTATCAGTATTTGTTGTTGTTAATCCTCACCTAAGGATATTTTTTCCATTGATTTTTAGAGAGAGTAGATGGGGAGAAAGGGAGGGACGGAAAGAGGAGGCTGGGGATATTGATGTGAGAGAGACACACCAATTGGTCTCTTTACACTGATGGGCTGAGGGTCAAACCTGCAATCCAGGTACATGCTCTTGATTCAAACCTGAATCAAATCTGAGACCCCACTGAGCAACACCAGCCAAGGACCAAGCCCATTTAGAACCTAAACTTTCCAGATAGCCCAAGGACCTGATTGTAGTTTACTCCTGTGTGGTAGTTACACTTCCCATTCTGCATCCAGGCCAGAAGGCTGAGCATCCCAATGATTCTTTTAGGACCACCCACTTTCCCACTGCTCTGAGGAAGGTGTTCAAGTCACTGAGTGTGGTCCCAGTATGAAGACATGCTACTGCTCTCTCCAGGAAACCTTTTCATTCTTTCTATTACTAACATTTTCTTTTTTCTTTTTTTATTCTTCTATTATTAATGTTTTATTTTTTTCCCCTAAGTCTTTAAAAAAAAAAAATCCCATCTCAGTATTTGATAGGGGAGTTATATCTAATTTGCTGTTCCCTTGATTCTTTAAATGCCTTGCTCTTGTGGTTTTTCTAAGTATTTTTGTATGAGTCACTCTGAGCAACTGACTGGGAATGTAGAGAAAAGGCTCTTTTTGCTATTTTGATTCACTATGTGATTGACCCTGGGCCAGTCACTGAACCTAATCAAGGAACTTCATTCATTGCTAAATAAAGATAAAAGGCCTGGAAAGATGAGTTAAAACTAGACCCCACAGCTGATGACTCCATCTCTTAATAACTGAGTCATAGAAATTAATTAGCTTTTTCCTACAGCATTTCCATTTGGAAAAGATCTCCCATGTTCTCCTTGCCTAGCTGTAACAGTCCTTTTACACCTTTCTGTCCTTGTCCTCCGTTACCTCTCCATTTGTTTAACTTTACCACTTAATTTATTTCAGTGAACAACCATGGCACTCTGGGATAATCAGCCCCAAATTAAGTTTTGATATTGTAGGTGAGTGGCAGAAAGAAAAGAAAGAAAATGAAAAGAAAAAAGGAAAGAAGGGAGGGAGGGAGGGAGGGAGGGAGGGAGGGAGGGAGGAAGGAAGGAAGGAAGGAAGGAAGGAAGGAAGGAAGGAAGGAAGGAAGGAAGGAAAAAAGGAGGGAGGGAAGGAAGGAAGGAAGGAAGAAAAATATATACTTAGACAAGATAGATTCAGGTTTAAGTTTTCCAATGCTCTAATTTTGTGATCTTAAGAAAGTCAGTTACCCTCTCTGAGCTACATTTTCTAATTTATAAAATGGTAACCATACTACTCTATCTTTTAACCTCATGGGCAATTGTCAGAAAAACACACAAAACAGACAATAAGATGTGTTTGGAAAAACTGTAAAGTAGGATGTATTCATGTTAACTGGATAATTCTATTCACCAATGCAAGAATCTTGTCATAATATATAGGAAAAGGTCTTAAGTGATATCCAACTATGCCAGACAAATATCATTAAAATTATGGCTGAGTAATCTTAAAGTAAACAATAAATTCAGGGTAAGAAAGACATTAAAGTAATAAAATTTAGTTTAAGAATGGGAGCAGCATCATGGGAGTGGCTCTTGGCAAAGCAGGGAATAAACTAACTAATATTTGAAGATCCTTCTTACTCTAATTTTTCAACTTTAGAATCCATAACCTATGGCGGAAGCTAAAAACTACAAAATAAAGGAAGGCAAAACGGATGAGTTAACAAATTTAAAGGTGGGGCCAAAGGAACTATGGCAAATGTGATCTCTGGGTCATGTAGAAATTCAAGGGGGCAGGGTGGGGAATCTGAAGACAGAGCTGCTCCATTTTCTTACCTTTGTTCTGTGTTAAAGATGGCAAAGATGTGCTTGCTGGACATAAAGCTTTTTTCCACATCTCTAACTTTCAGGTTGTCCAAGGGAAGCATATACTTCTTTTCTTTTTCCTATTGAGAGAGAGAGAGAGAGAGAGAGAGAGAGAGAGAGAGAGAGAGAGAGAGAGAGAGAGAGAGAGAGAGAAAGGGGGGAGGGAGGAGAGAGCACTTTAATAAAAGATCTTGAAGCATGTCAATGGTGACATTTCACCTGAGCTGGCCAACATTTGATTACAATATTTTGATACCATCACACACTATTTTGACACCAGGTACCAAAGGAGAGAAGTTATCTGAGATAGGCGTCTCCAATGATTCTCAACACATGTTCGAAGGAAAGAGGGGGGGAAAGGCTGGAGGAAGGAGGGCTCAGCGATGGAGAAAACACATGGGCCTCTATCCTTTCTTCCTCATGTGGGTCCCCTTAGATGTTTTCAAATGCTAGCTTGATATTAAGAATTTAACCATCTGTTAATATTTAACGAAAATGTTCTGGTCCTAATTCAATGAGAAATGCCAGATGGATTTCATTCCATATTTTATTTGCAGCCTAAGCAGTTTTGATAGCCAGTGCTGGCAGGGGCTTGGAAGCACAAGGACCCCAGAATGCAATGCCCCCATAAACTATGCTGAAGCACAGCCATATTTTCTTCATTCAAGTCTAGAGCAAATGGGGGTCCAGAAAAAAAGAAAATGATGCCATTCAATTGTTGAGCTCTTTGAGAGAGAGAAAAACACAGCAAAACATTAGAAGAAGTGGGCTGATATTAACTGGAACTGATATTCTTTTTTTCAAAACTAACAATTCTTTAGGAAGAAAATGGACATTGGAGAGAGGAGGTCTGCAAATGACACCAAATGGATCTTTAGTAAAACATACTGGGTGGCGAGGGATTATTAGAAACAATTACTTTCAGGGACTGGCCCAGGGGCAATGTTATCGTACGATCAAATGCTTAAATAGACACCAGCCAAGGATAATAGGAGAGCCAAACACTCAATCTAGGAAACCTAGTCAGGATGTATTCCTGGGGCCTTTGAGCCCTGACATAGCTCTGGTGCTGGTCCTGAGGAAAAGCTGGACTAGCCTCTGGAAGAGGGGAGCATGGAGACTTAGCCATGATTTTTTAATAAAACACCTATTAATGTATTTCCTGTGGAGAACACATACACTGTAGAGACATGTCTGACATAAGCCCATTTTTTTGCTGTTCCTTCGGCCCCTACAGCACGTCCTTGAGAATTTGTGGCTGGCTCAGCAGTGGAGAGCAGACCTCATCTGTGCTTCTGACCAGCGGGTGGGGAACGTGTCTCCACACCCACAGAGAGTCATCAGGAGTAACACTCTCTCTGCCACTTCTTACTTCTAAACCTCTCAGACAACAGTTGGCAGAGCATGTTCAAGTGGTGTGGCAGAGAGAACTAGGTGGCTGAAGAAGCTGAAGGCAAGTTGGGTGGAGAACACAATGGCTGTCCTGGCAGACAACGTCCGTAAAGAAGATTTTAAAAACCCCACAAAAATAACAAAGAAACTAAATGGGAGTGAAGGAAGCCCAGAACAATCATGAAAAAGCAAAGCACTGTGAGAAGATTCCAATATTTCTTGTGCAAAAATTAATACTACATTAACAAATTCAAGGATATTCTTTAACGGCAACATACATCATTCAAATAAGTGAAATATCATAGTCGAGTGATGTGTTTGAAACACAAGATCATAGACTAAATGAAAATCTATGAAATCCATAATTAAATGAAAATGTTTGAGACCCAGGGAAATATTTTTAGCCGTTTTTCAATGCCCTAAATTTAAGCAGCTGGATTTTTTTAATGCACCATCCTAGTCAACCTTTTGAAATGATGGATTTGCCTTTTAATGGAAATCTGCATTTCATTGTGAAGATGGAACACAATGTCCTTGGCATGTTTTCTATAGAAGGAAGCTCCCTTTGAACTTCATTCTTTAGCATATAGCAACAACAAAAAATCCAGCAAGTTGATGTCAATATTCAACACTGGAGAAATATACAGACAGACAGGGGAACATGAAAAATGTACTGCAGTTTCATTTCCAAGTGAAATGTCATTTATCCTAGGGTTTTGAAGATGTATTGTCCAATTCTTTCATAATCAAGCGTTTTAAGATTGACAAAGGAAGAACAAAGAGACTCAGTCTGATTTGTTTTATTAAAGTTGTTTGTCAAAGGGAGAATTAAATAAGAAATCAAATGGTATGTCATGAATATTTCTAAAATTCTTGGTGCTTTGGGGGAAAATGATATTTGGCTAAAAGAACATTTTAAATATGAAAAAGCTAAAATAAACAAAAGGAATAGAAGTGATAAAGGATAAGCAGAAATTATAATTTCCAATACAGTGAGTCTTAGCACCAGCTTATTTGAGACATCTGCTACATAAATTAGTTAGTTTTATTAAACTGTCGAATAGCACACTGTCCAATGTGGTAGCCACCAGCCACACGTGACTACCGAGCACTTGAACTGTAGCTACACTGGAGTGTGCTCTCGATGTTAAATACACACCAGGCTTCAAAGACTCAGTATGAGAAAAACAATGTCAACCATCTCATTAATGCTTTTATATTGATTACTAGAGGCTTAATGCACAAAATTTGTGTAAGGGGCTCGGCCCTCATAGCCTCAGCTTTGCCTGGAAGATCTTCCTTTACTCCTTAACTGCATCAAGGCTACAGCACTGCATTTGAAGCATTTGTTTCAACTCCCTTGTTTGACATTCCCACGACATTAACTGAGGTCCCCGGCATCTCATACACATATGATAATAAATGGTCTACTTGCCTCCAAATTCCTCTCACAGAGGGCAATATCTAAAACTACTCCATCAAACTCATTATAGTCTTTCAAAACTTTCATACCTCTCCATTATTTATGAAAGAAAATCAACAAAACTCCTTAATATGGCATTGGAAAACACCTATAATTTGGTCCCATCCTGATTTGTCAATATCTCCTTTAGTCTTCCACAAGAAGCCTCCATTTCAGCCAAATGCACCTTCGCCAAGAGTCTGTTCCCAACCTTGAAATACCCTTTTAACTTCTACCACATCCATCTATTATTTAGCATCTACCTCAAGTTCTATCTTCAGTGCAAAAGTTTTCCCAAGTTTGTCCCTCCTCCATCTCTCATCTTTCAATTCATACAACAGGTATTATTTATTCTATTTATTTTGAATTACACTTTTCGAGACACTTTCATCTTATAAATGTACCACATTAAAAACTTGGTATAAAGGTTGTTCATTTGGCACTCAGAATGTTCAGTCAATTCTATTGTTCAAGAAGGATGCATTAGCAAGAAATAATTTAAAAGTAGAGTTTCAAAATCATTGTAAATAAATCCTTTATAATAAAAAGGTAATATGCAAATTGTCCCCTTGACCTTGAGCAGGAGTTTGACCAGGGGGCAGGGCTGTCCCGACAAGGACCCAAGGCCCCTCTCCCCGGCTGGCCCTGCCCCCAAATTCGTGCATCAGGCCTCTAATAAGAAAATATTTTAAACATTTTATATTGAACACACATTTTGGAGGAAGCTTTTGTAAAACTGCAGAGAAATATTTTTAAATTATTTTTTTTGTTTTTTTAAAAGAAATAATTGCTATACATCCTTGTACAAGTTCAAGGCATATAGCATAATGTTTTGATTTACATATATTGTGAAATGGTTACCATAGTAGGTTCAGCTAATATCCATCTTCTCATAATGATACAATAAAGAGAAAAGAAAGAAGAAAAAAAATCTCCTTTTGATGACAACTCAGGAGTTACTCTCTTAACTTTCCCATATGCCATACAGCAGTTAACTATAGTCACCATGCTGTACATAACATCACCAGGACTTATTTATCTTATAACCGGAAGTGTGTACCTTTTGACCAGCTTCCTCAATTTCCCCTCCTCCTACTCCCTGCCTCTGATAACCACAAGTCTGCTCTCTTTCTCTATTTGGCTTAGTTTTGTTTTTAAGATTCCACATGTAGTGAGCTCACACAGTGTTTATCTTTCTTTATCTTGTTTCACTTAACATAATAAACTCAAGGTCCATCCATGTTGTTGCAAATAGTTTTTATGGCTGAATAATAATAGCCCAATTGCATATATATCAATATCACAACTTCTTTAACTATTCACCATCAGTGAATACTTAGGTTGCTTCCATGTATTGGCTATTGTAAATAATACTGATGCACACATGGGGATGCAGGTATCTTTTCAAGGTAGTGTTTTCCCCACTTTTGCATATAGAGTAGCTCCCCCTTATCTATGGGGCATAAGACCTCCAGTGTTGGTGGCATAGTTGACATTCAACAAACAAGTGTGGAATGAACATAAGACTGGGTCACCTCTTGGACTGACATTCTTCTTTGCCTGGTTTAAGAACTTAAAGATGATGATTGACTTTAAAAATAAGCAAAATATCAAAGTAAAAAGAGAAGCTACAAAAATATTGAGAATACTGGAATACTAGCTCTACATGCTGTTGAAAACTAACACCTGGTGTTTATTGCTATTAAGAAGTTTTAACTATAGAGATGTTCAAGTATGAAACTCATAATATAAACTACCCATCTTATTTGGGCTCTAATTCCTTGCTTTAATCAGAATTACACTTGTAGTAGTGAGCAGCATCTGGGAGCCAGCAGGCTGCTAGTAAATGACACTTCTTTAGATTTCTCAGTTGGGCACTGAAGAAACTTTGATGGGCTGCTCTAGCAGGTCCAAGAAAATGCCATGGTCTACACGCCAGTGGCTTCAGAGCTGCCCCCTCTGCACTCACACTAATCCTTCAATGGAGAACACACTGCCATATCTCCACGAGGTAAGAGAAAGATAGTCACACTTGCCAATACCCAACTACAAACCTAATCTTTTCCTGATTCCCTCTCTCTCTTCAGAGTTTAGTTCAATTCCCACCTCCTCCAGGAGGCCTTCTTGGCCATGAGAGCCCATTGGAGGGCTCCCTTCTCCATTCTGAATGCATTCTTGGGCAGCACTACTTTTTGTTTTTGTATTTGGTATCCTAGAAATGTGGAC